CCGTGGAAAGCTATTATAAAATAGGATATTATAATGTAGATATATTATTGTACCGAACTACAATTTGTTACTTTTTATTAAAAAGAAAAGTCACATAGTTATCTCATTTTGTTTTTTCTAATATTATTTTCGGAAACCACGGTTAATTTTATCCTATACATTTTTGAGATTTTCCCTCACACATTCGATAACTTGTGAACACTGATCAACTTTTGGACGATAAAGGATTATAAGGATGTGATACAACAAAATCAATACAACTGAAATACAACCAGGCTCCACTCCCCAACCCCACCAAAAAAAAAAAGCACGAACCTATTTGCGCCTATGCTACACATCATACAGGTATCATAATAATATACATATCTATACGGCGCTATATTTAATAGAAAAATCTCTAACCGAGGGTCGTCTATATACATAATGTTTATAAAAATAAAGTATTATATTATGGTCCATCAGTGCCAGTCCATCATCATCGCCGTCGTCGTCGTCAACAAGTACAATATTATTATTTCATCTCCACTGAGTATCCCGTCGCACCTTCATCCAGTCATTGTTGGGTGGGGTTAGGGGGTAAAGGAGAACCATTTCCAGGGGTGGCATATACATTTTTTTAGGGGCTTCAAATGTTTAATGACGAAACGAAACAAACGTTTTGTAGATTTCGGTTTTAGAATGATTCATTACTCACCTCCTACCTACTGATAAATGATATGCACAGTTAGGTGTATAAATATAATACCTACGTAGGGACACACATTGACATTTCGCTGAGATAATATTATTGTTTCCACGGCGGTGGAAAAAAAATACAACGCATGCGCAAACCATCGATGTGCCGATATGTCATCGTAGCCCGTAAGTAGAAAATACCATTATAAAACTTCATTTATCTTGGTGGAAAATCGCTGGGACAGGTGCATTTCTATTTTCGTTTGTATTATTTTCGAATATAAAATTATATACACAGGCACAGCAGTATAATGGGTCCTGATACACAATGGTATTTTTTCGTATTTCTCCTTATCGTACATTTTTATGATTATAATATTGAACTTCATATTTACAGTTTAAAATGTTCCATTTGTTCCTACATATTATCTGAGTTAGAGGTTTTCAACCCACTGCCCGCAGTGTCACCATATTTTAAGCCCATGACCCCATTTCAAGCATAGCGTGTATTTTTATATTTGGAAAAATTATAACAGCTGCACAAGACGTTATTGAAAAACGTGAATCGCTCAACTCGCTGAGGATTGCTGCATAGTCTTAAATACAACTAAACATAGAAAAATTAATCGAGAAAATACAGAATAAAATATCCTACTAAAAAAAAAAAAAAAAATGAAGAATTTTTTCTTTAAAATGTTAAACTATAGGTATTAGTACCTATGTTGTGATAACTATACGTAAATCATTTTTAATTTAAAATTTAGAAATATTTTAAATTATGCTAAGATAATAAAAACTGACTTTGTGTAAATAATACATGTTTTTATTACGAATGTGATCCGCTGGTTAAAAAGGTCGAAGACCCCTGACCTAGTTAGTATTTATTTTTACTACACTCCGGTCCACAGAATAAATATTATTCGCCGAGTCAGTGAGAGAGAAGCCGATTGACTGAAAAACCGACGCAATTCCGTTTGACGATAAAATGGGTTTCTTTTAAAACAAGTGGAAAGCGAATACAATTAAGTGCTGTATAGTTTCGAGGGGAAAGATACGAGGAAAAATAATTATTTTTGTTTTAGTGATGGGTAGTAGGTGGGTATATAGTAAGGGTGTTGTTTTAAAATCTGCCACAGACGGCACGGCTATAGCATCACTACTCATCTAGTGGTAGTGCGGCGCTCTGACACTATAAAATATACTACTTCAGGCTTTATTGTAAGGCGCAGTAGGTCACTAATAATTGTGCAGTAAAAAAATATAAAATGTGCAGTTGACTTAACGAATGAGTGGATACTTCATTACTTGAAAAACATAAAATGTATATTAAGAAGTCAGCTTGCATAATATTAGCAATAACGTAAGAAAAAAAATACAATTTTAACCTCACCGACGGTGTCTGGCGTCTGGTTGTATGTCATATTTAAGGGTTGAAACTAAAGAAGCTGTCTGTTTGTTGCACACCCTCATGTATGGGGTTTTATCTTTAAATTTTTCGTGAAATAACTGATTTTGTCCTGTTGTCATAGCAAGCCTTTCAGTTATAGTAGGTATAACCTACCCAGCTTATCTAAGACTTTTGCTCAATACTTCGAATAAAAATAGAGTGTACGTAATATGATAAACAATAGTGAGTGGATATTTTAAATAATTTACTTTAAAGAGTATTTTCGTTCCGAAGTATACATTTTTTTCGAGGCGGGAGGGGGTCTTCACCATAACTTAAATTCTATTTGTGTGGTTGGATAAAGTCCTTACGATAAAGCCCGACACTATACTTAATAATGTACTTCCATCGGCGCCACCACTACTACCACCACCTCCACCACCTCCACCACCACCAACATCACCACCACCACCACCTCCACCACCGCATACAACACTTCCACCACCGTCCCATTCTCACGACGACACACTAATAATAATGGCGACAACAACGACGACGACGACGACGACGACCGTCGCTATAGACCCTTACGCGAAAGTTCGTCCGACTACGGTTCGAGTTTTGAACGTTCCCAAACGTATTATTGCTGCTGTTCGACGACGCCGCTTGCCGGTTCTGCTGCGAGGACAACAGCGCGCGGCCCAGCATGCTGTTGTACTGTTGTTGTTGTTGTTGTTGGTTTTGGTGCTGCTGGTTCTTGTGCTGCTGTTGCTTGAATTGTCGCTGCATGTGCTGTTGCTGCTGCTGCTGGTGGTGATGGTGCTGCTGGTGCTGGTTCCGATTGGTCTGCTGCACCGTCTTATTGGACTTGGACTCGCGATGACCGACCGCGCGAATCGGCTGATTCAACAATTTGCATATTCGATCGTATTCCGGCGTTTTTTCCAACTATATTCAAGGGCGAAATCGTCGTAGGTACAACAACAACAACAACAACAAAATAGGAACACTACGCAGCTCGTGGCTGATGATATTGTGTATAGGTACCTAGGTATTTTAGATACTTTGCCAGTGATGTAATGCCAAAAAAAAAAAATTCGTGGCTGTAGGTACTACGTCAATGTCACGTAGGTGGTGGCAATATAATTATATAGAAAAAAAATTGTAATAAAGTAAAAAAAAAAAATAGTTCCTAGCTTCAGAGGATATCATTATCCTTCGTATTATTCTCACTTAACTATAATATCATCATTGTTACGTAAATCGGTGGCAAGTAGTGTTTGTACAAGGCTTTTATTAGATAAATATTGTAATTAACTGACACTGAAAAACGTCTTTAAGATGTGTAGGTACACATTATTATTTTGTATGAGTATGAGCGTAATATTATAATAATAATATATCCTCTAGGGTTACGGTTTTTTTGATATTCTGTTGTATATAGGTAAATAGGTTAACCGGTTTACCGGTTATTGCTCAAATACCGCTTGAACCATAGTATACCGTATTACCGAATTACCGGAATGCCGTTCAATACCGAAGAAATAACTTTATGGGTTAACACCGTTCATGGTTTTTTCTGTATACCACTGTTCTAATACCGCAATACTATCAACCCTATCAAGGTTCTTCGGTATTACAGTATTACGGTTTACCATTATGTGCTGGTATAACGGGTTTTCTGATAAGTAACTGTATTACGGTAAGTATACCGTTTCATACCAGCATACCAAACTAAACATAAAATACCACAAATACCTAAACTCTCTCTCACACACACACACGCACACACACATACACATACACATACTGACACACATATGACAATATAATATTATGATTATGTTTACATATTACAAGAATGAAATATAAAAAATAGTATACTTGCCAATAAAATATCAGATAATTTGGTTTTAAAAATATTTCTCGATAATCACCCTATATGTATATCTACTATATAAGCACCATCTGACAATTGAAAATTTCAAAAAATAATAATTTTATAGAATATCATTTTGTTTACGTCACTTAAAATTCAACGGCGTATTGTGCATTACGTACACAAACATAATATTTGTTTATTTTGTTTATGTACCACACAAAAGTGTATTATATTATTATTATTATTATTATTATTATAAATATTATTATACGGCGGTAGATATATGGCATAAGTCACGTATGATTGTATTTGTTTTCGTGGCCTTTCTGTGAAATAAATTTAAAACAAATAGAAAACCGAAGAGCTTCACCGCTTGAACAATTTCATCGCTGCTGTGAATTCTTTTAGGGACTTTCGTCGTATAGCTACTACGGGGGTGGTATACAATATTGACACCCCACGGGATAATCTTTTAAGACGACCCTAGGACCCTTCCGACTTTTGATACTCTATCTACATATTTGCATTGTAAATATTAAATGCGTACTAGAAAGGTACATAGATTATGGCTCATGAATATTTCAAAATACTCCAATTACTTACCTAACATCAAATGTTGTATAATAACTTCATAAACGCAAGTGTTATGGTGGATAGACATGTTAAGATCAATGTATATTATGCTATTGTAATTTATTAGTATTATATTATATGTTCAGTAAAACATGTCATATAACATATGAGAATATAATATATAATAATTTTAATTAAAACCCGAAGTTAAGAGGTATAACTACCTCAACAACAATGAACAAAAAATTGGAATTTTCGTGTTTTTTTTAAAATTAGTTTTTAAAACAAGTCGATTGACTGTACGCCAGTTTGAATTGTCACAATGCCGGTTATTGTTTAAAAAAAAAATAGTATTTATAAGTATATAACCATTAACCAAATTTAATAAAAATTATATAATATAATGTTAGGTATATTAAATTATATGATATACTGATATTGATATACTGATAGGTATATGATATTATATATGATTATACTAAAGTCTTAGATTTTTTAACTTTCAAATTGAATATTAATTATAATAATATTTATATATTGTATAATATTATAGCCAAACAAATAACAAGCTAATTTAAATAATAACCATGTTCAGCATAATCGTTTACCCTGTCTATTTAGTAATTACGATCGTCTCATTAAAATGAGTAGGTACTAGCGTGGGTAGAAATATTACTATGAATGGAGTTATGGAGATAGTATACAACAGAACTTATATTATAACTGTATAGGAGTATATGTGGTTTTTTTTTAATAATATAGACTGCAGACGACAGTTGTTTTATTCAGAAAGTGCCTATATTCCGTTTATTTTCTATTATAATGAAATTAGTTTAATTTTGCTTTCTTTGCTTTATTATTATTATTATTTTTTTATATTTCATGTTGAACCATTTATTTTCATTTCATTTAATTTTATAATTTTTCATATATATATATATATATATTTGTGATTCAAATCAACAAAAGCTTGCAAAGAAGACGCTGTGTCTTAGTATGTTTAAAATAATATACCATCAAGGCTGGGGATTAACGAGTTAAAAAGTTAAAGTTAAGTGAAAAAGCATATTTTATCTTAACTTTTTACTTAACCGATTACTTTTGAGTTTCGGTTAATTTAACTAGATACTAACTTAATATTTAATTGTTTTTTAATGAACTGAATTACATTTTCATTTTAAGAAATTAGATTTATTTTATTTTATTACATTTCAATTTCGTGTTCATATCAAAAAAATATTGCGGGTTCCTAATGTTTGATGTGAATTGTTTATTTTTTAGTGATGAAAAACTCAAATTAAGTACTACCTGTATAGAAATAAGAAAATTGTATACACATACTATATAGTTTTAATTAAATCGATAAAATATTAATGTATCTTAATAAAAAGTTTAAATTAGTTTTTTATCAACTATTTACGTACTTAACCATTAATTAACTTATAACTTTCAGCTTATTATAACTCTATCATTAATTCGGATTAACTTAACCGGTTCAAATCAAATCATTAACTGGAAAAGCGTATAGACTATTAAAGGTACTATAAACTATGCACATAGCCAATTGTATCATTATGGCTGATACACGTATCGACAGTACTTGTCAGCGCCCACACAACATTTGGGAAATGATAATAATTTGTGAATATATTAAAGTGCTTGAATAATGAATATTCAACTCATAATACTGTGTAAATATTTTCTTCTCATAATAACGAAATAGTGTACTATAATATGATTGCATAAAAATGTTGACTAAATATTTTGATATAGTTTCCTTAAAAATGTTTTTTGAAAATATATGATTAAAATGTTTCGTAAATATTTTTTATAAAATATTTTAAAAAATGTGAACTTTTTAGCTAAAGAATATAACTAAAATATTTCCTAATTGTTTAGGTACTCATTTTTTTAAAAATATTTTGACAACCTATATAATTTTCTTGAAAATATTTTTACCGTAGTTGGGAAATATTTTATATTTTTATGCTGTGTGGGTGGCATCTTATCATAGTACATGATATTATTAATTAAATTACCTATAAAACATACTAGTAAATAATAGATACTACTCTATACCGTCAATCGAATAAATCGAATAAAACCTAACCAAATTATTACTTATTCGTGTTGCATCCTAACCCCAATATTTGTAATCGCTTAATATAATATTTAATTAATTTAACATTGAATGCGAGTCATAATTTAGACGTATAGTTTATTTTATTCGGGAAATAGAGCAATATGGGTACTCACGTCGTCTTGGAACACGCAGTTTTCAGCCGTAGTGTCGTACGCGGACGATATGTTATTGTGGTCACCTTCAACCGACGCAAATCTAAAATGCAAACACCATTTGAAACAATCGCAAAAACTTAAGGTAGGTATAATATTGTCGTCATTCATATTTCGAGGTAACATTATTCATCGTCACCGCTGTCTGCAAGTTGCTCACGGTGTAGAGAAACTCAACGAGCGACGCTGATAAATTCGGCTGCATAATATTATATTAAAATTGTGCACTCATAATGCACTGTTTTTTACCTGCTGCTGTTGCTGCTGCTACTGCTACTGCTGTTGCTGCCGTTGTAGTAAGACGGAGAATTTTGGGCGTAAGTCACCACCGGTTGGACGACGGTTTCTCCACCGCCGGCCCGGAATTTGTTATTTTGTAGGACACCTGTAATATTATAATACGGTAACGTGAATATTAATTACAAGCGCCGAATTCGCGCAAACCCGACGAAATTAATTAATAACTGCACAAAAAAATTCTTATTATTAGAGTTGGGAAATTCCCAGGAACACCGCCTAAAGGGAATTTCCGGAAATTCCGAGGAACGTGTTGGAATATTCACGGGAATCGTACAGAATTTGTTTGAACGAATATTATAGGTAGTTCACGGATCGTATAAGGATATTGCGTAATTGTGCGTTTTCGTTTAAATGTTCAAGTTATTTCTAAAATGTCCATATTTTAAAATGTTTTAAATGTATTGTTCTACTGCATAAAAATATGAAAAATAAATAAAATTCTGTATCAATCGTGACACATGCACCTATAATATTATTATGTACCTGTACTCTAGTGGAATCGATGGGTCCCATAACGATTCAATTTTGTTCTTTCAAATATTATTACTACGGTCGTCTCGCAACTACACTTGCTTATTTCTGCAATATTTTCAATTTTGTTACTATCCGTAAATCAAATATATATATTTTTTTAGGACATCAATGATAAAGGTACCTTTATTGTTCGATTTTCATAAGTATATTTAAAATGTTCATAAACTGATGACTAGAATGCGGATTTATATGCATTAAAAATCAACCAAATATGCATGAAAAAAATAAAAAAATATGCATAAGAAAATTAGCAAAAATAAATGTATTTTTTGAACATTTAACTAAAACAATATATTTAAAACTATGGAACCCTACTTTAAATACATTTTTAAATTTTTTCTGAAATAATGTCAATGGACAATGGTCGTAATCGATATTTGCTTATCTTGGTAGGTATACCTATTTTATTTCACTAATTATTGACTAAAGGTCATCTTTGGGAAAACCGTTGATACTTACAAGTATACCTATTAATTTCTTTTGATATTAATCGAAACTATAAAATATAATATTTGTTTCTTACATAAGAATAGTAATTATTTCTAAAAAATAATCAAAAACATCGAACTATGCACTAAAATATGAAATATGCAATTAAAATTGAACAATAAGCTCTAAATATAGAAAAAAAAATGGGTAAATGTCAATATATGCAAAAATATTCAATAAAAAGTTTCATTTTTTAAATCGTTATGCCATGAAAACAATGTTGTTCTCACTTGACATATTATAAGATCAACCAGAATAAATATGAAAATGCATATAAATCAATGCTCTACTGATTACATACTGGTCGATAGCCATTGGAATTATTAGATGCTGGTATAATCGAACATTTTTAAAGTCCCTATTCTTCGCCTAATTTTTTTCATACTAAGAGTTAAACCAAAAATAAAAGTGCCTCGGTATATAGAATAGTTTTAGATCATAGTTAGAAAAATTAAAAATCTCACATAAAAGCGTTTTATGTACCCATACAAAATGTTGTTCATAAATTAATATTCTTCTTGGTTGGATGTAATGTCAGGTCTCCATCAATTAATATTAAATGACAATTCCGAGGAAATCACTAGTTTTACCCAGTTATCTTTCGGTTTAACTAAAGCAACATAACAATTTCAAAAGTTATGAATATTAATTAAAACTAAATGGAAATTCAAAGGAAATAAGAAGTTTTACCCACTTATCTTTTAATTCAGCTAATATACTATACACCACGAAAATTTCAAAAGTTATGAATATAAATATAGTATGATTAAATTATAGGATCAACTGTTGCTAACAAGATAATTGTGTATGTTTGGTTAAAGCTTTAGAAAAACATCCCTTTAAATAACTTTGAACGACTGTTAAAATAAAAATTCAAAATGTTAAAATGTAAATATAGATAAACTGTACTAAAATGATTAAGTCATATTATAAATGGTCAAAAAATAAAGCTGACAGAAGAAAAACTTTTAGCCATTAAGAACTTATTCCCTCTCCTATCACAATACAACAACTATGAAGTTTTGTATGTTCAGAAAATTACTATTGTAGTTTTATTCAACATTTTAGTAAATTGGCGCATCCTCTTGCAGAATAAACTAAAGAAAAATTTAAATCTAAAAATCAACTCTTCAGTAGTAAAATTAGAATAGAAATCACATTCAACACTCTTAAATCCACACTTCGGAATAAACCAGGTTCATTTCGATTTCACTTTAATGAACACACAAAAATAATGTTGGTAACCGAAAGTTCAAAAAAGATTTGGACGTAATAATATTCTACAACAAATAAAGAGATAATAAATTAGACACATATTTCCCAATAAAAATTGAATACTGCACAAAACAATTAATAGGCGTTAAACTTAGAAATAACAGCCTTACATTTCAGTTGTACTCATTGGTTAAAGGTTGTACTCATATCAGTTAAACGGTTATCAAAACTGATCATAAAATTATAATTAAAGAGTTATAAATGATTAAATCGGAATCAACAGTATTTAAAATACTCAGAACTTAATTAATCGGTTCTTATTTCTGGTAATTTTGTTATCAACCTTCAGAACTATTTATGAAAAAACAGTAGATTTATCAATACAAAATGATCCAGTCTTGCTTAATAATACCTAAACTAACCTATATAAGGCTTGAAAGCGAATACAAAAATCTCAATATAATATGTATTTATAACGTTTCAGAGTATAGCACGCCAAGAGATGATACTTAGATTACATCCGGAAATATTCTTACGATTTGGTTTCAAATATGTAGCAAATATCTTAAGAGCAATTAGTTTTCCTACAGAACCTCTTACAAACGCTTCGTCCTGCAATCTCAATAGAACTTGAAAATAATAACACAGTTTGGTTAGTTTTCAAAACTAAAGCCAAATTAAGTGGATTTAGTTCGTGAAGTGGAGTCCCGGCTACATAATATGAAGTAACATAGATTCAGAGATATTAAGTACCAAAATCAGGTCAAAACTAATGCCGGTGATCGAAACTGGTATATCTCAATTATTCGGTTGTCTCGAGAAAAAAAAACTCACCATCGAGATTTTCACTTCTAAGCGGCCCCATTTACATATTCAGAAGCCCAAAATTACGTCTATAATATTATTACGAGCTTATAGGTGGCCAATCATATTTTAAACATGAATTTATTTTCACTCACAGTCACACGACCGGCTCAAACTTTAAGCGGCCCTCTGAGATTTTCTTTGTAGCTCACCTAACCAATCCGGCCCTGCTCACCCATGTACATAATCCTTTAATTAATATATCACGTAAGTGTAAAACTCTATTAGGTCACCTAAAGTACAATCCAGGTTGTTATGAAAATGTAAGCCTTCTTTCTAAATTATGTTCACATACCTAATAGATGTAATATTCATAAAATATGTCACGATTCTAATATTATAATAACTGAATCTCGAACCAATTGTATGACAAAAATCGATGAACGGACTCTGAGATATATTTTTTAAATATATAAGAGTGTTTGGTAACTGTGTAGGTGTACGTCTAATAGAATAGATAATCCTATTACCACTATAGAATATAGATCAGTTGTTCAAGTCCGTTGTCACAGGTGCTGCTGCAAAGTTTAAAATCGGGACATGTCGTATCCACATATAAGTAAATATAGAATTAGATGGAACATTCAGTATGATAACATATACAACAAAAGCTTGCAAGAAGTGGAGCTTGTTTCGAGGATTTGTTTTGTTTGGCTATATCCTCAAAGGACTTCCATTTCTCTCGCCCTTTTGATAAAACTCAAGCCATAATAATCTCACTTAATCCTTTTGGCACGATTACGCATCCTTGTCTTCGAATAAAATGCTCTGTCCAGGTGTACAAGCCTATACAGATTACATATTATACAAACAGTTCTATCGATTCGTATATTCGATTCTTGTTCAAAAACTGTCTATCTTTTAAACTGGTGGTTATCGATGCTGTTTAATATTTATACCGATTTAAGATGAAAAACATTTAATGCCTACCTTAAATATGAATAATATATTAACAGTTATTTTATAACCAATCAGTTAAACTCGATGTTTGAGTAATGTTTTAGCTATACACGGGCCCTTATTAAATTGTTTTCGGGTTTCTCTATCTAATAAATTGTAAGCTGATAGAAAAAATGAATAATATCTCATCGAATGTCATCAATAAGTTAGGTTCCTGTGGAGTGCATCGAGAAGGCAATTTACCTCCGAAGTTATTTTACTATTCGTAAATGAATTACATTTTAGATAAGACGATTAAATACACTAATTAATGTAATAATGTCTAATGTTTGCTGACGACTTAAAATTATATTACTAACTTTGTGATCAGATGGATTAGGTATGCTAAATCACAAAGTGACTATTAAACTGCTTCTTGACAGGATGTACCGTTAACGGTTTATGTTCAAACACAACCAAATGTTTACGAAATATATCTTTCTCACGTCGCAGCTAAGCTGTTCGGTAAATTTGAATAACACGACTAATAAATCATAGTATACTCTGTTGATAATTTAGGACGTGTCTGGTGATCAAATTACTTAAAATTTAAAAACAGACAAATAGATTATGTACAAAAAAAATTACTCTATTTTTAAGATTTATTTAATCAACAGTTAGGACTTTAATAATCATAATGCATTAAAGTCCTATTGTTCCATGAATGTTTCCCTATGAATTGGAACCCAATCACTGAACTTTGGTTGTGCCAACTTGAGAGTATTCAAAATAGTGTTTTTAAATTGCTGTCACCTAAATTAGGGCTAGCAACAAAATTATTTTATTTTGTTCTAAAATAATTCTACAGTTGCAAAATGTTGTTGCCTTGAACTACTGTCTCATACTCTCATAAGGGTAGTTATAATATAACATTACCTATATACAGGCCCGTAGCCAGACCAAATTTTCAGGAGGGGCAAAGCAAATTTTTGGGGGGGCATTATATATAAATGTATTAAATATTAATGCGATTTTTAATTTATTTACATTGATATCCCATTAAATTAACACAACTATAATTTTCTATCTAATAGTAATAATAATAATAATAATCCATTTATAATAGAATATTTTGGGAATTTACAATGAAACATTTGTTTTAAAGTTACAAAACGAATAATACTAAATAATAAAAATAAAACTTATATTAAAGTTTACATAGATAATTATAATATTCATCATATTCACTGATGTTACGTGGTTAAATTTTGAACATTTTAATATTAATTAATACAGCTTCAATTTTCTATTATTCTGCTTGTTGAAGTTCATTAATAATAGGTCCATGTTTAAGTTTTCTGTCCGTTTGGACTCAAATGCCAATAAAGTTAAGTTGGAAAGCCGGTTATGTGACATTGATTGCCTTTGAGGATTGTCAACTCTGTTTAAGCAGGAAACTGCAATTCACTGCAATTCACAAACTGCTGAGCTACATCCAAATACTTCAACTGCTGCTATCATTTCATATGTAGCTTTAAATGCTTTACGTTGTTGATAAAGCTCTAAAAAAATGTTCTTATTAGATATATTATTTTCTTTTAAATAATTTTTTACACAAATTATTTCTTCTTTTGAAGGAATATTAATTTTAAGATCATTAAATATTTTAAAATCATCGTAATTCAATTCGTATATGTTAGAAACAGCTTTAATAAGTTCATCATTTTTTTCAAAACGAGTTTCCATCTCAGATTTAATTATATCAATAACTTCATAAAATGTAGATAATAATGAAATATTAATATCGTCGTTGACATAATTTGTATAAGTACCTACCAGATGATTCACTTAAAATATATTCATTCAATTTTATAGTAGTCTTTCTCTTGCGTTTTGGAGATTCAGTTTCGGTTTCAGGTAATAAATTTTCACAGTCTTTTAAAATTGCATTGAACACTTCTTCATTTCTTGATTGTTTTAAACTATTAATCACGCTATGAATAATTGGAATTACTAAGGTTAAACCAGTTTCCTTAATACGGCTAAAAAAACTTTTTTGATCTATTCTATTACCGATGAAAGTGTTATTAGCATAAATACATACCTACCTAAAGTCTTGCTAATATTTTTTAGGGGGGCAATGACTGGGTTTAGGGGGGCAATGCCCCCTTGACCCCCCCCCCGTGGTTACGGGCCTGCCTATATAAATAATAAACAATCATAATATAAACTGTTCAATTTACCATCTCTAATTACATTATAAGTACCTATGATAAAGTTAAATCTATTATTTTCTATAGATTATCACTGGCAGAATAACAGTAAATAAATAACCACAAGTTCAGTCGTAATAATTTTGCTGATTTTTACTTAATATTTAATAATCTTTTCACTTTTGTTTTTACAATGCCTACCAATACAATGTCGATTAAATAATATATGTTTTGCAACTTTTGCACTTTTGGACGTATTAATAATAATTAATTAAATACGTCAAAATAAAGCAAAATCATATTATATTTTTAATAATACAATATTTTTTCCTATAAAATTTAAAAAAAAATAACCTTGAGAATAAAAATGTATTGGACATGGATTTAAAATTAGATGAATAGGTCTTAGTAAAAATACCAGTAGGTATGTAAACACAAATTGTCTGAAATGATGGATCATACATATTTAGTGGCTATATACTGCTACAGGTACCTACTATATGATAAAGAAATTGAAACCCAACTATATATTTAATAAATTTACCTAAGCACGGTAAGTTAATAAATGTGCCAATACATTATAATATAACCAAGAAAATAAATTATCGACATCCTGCCGGAGTTATTTTTTGTACCTATATTGATGTTCCTGAAAAGGGGTGTCAGGATGTACCGTCGTCACACCTAACCTAAATAAAAATTGTACCTTTCACAAATAAAGTTTAAATTGTAAAAATTAATAACGCTCAGTGTATCATAAATAACAAACACGAAAACAAATATTTTGTATCTCAAATAGGTATTTTGAAATCAGTGATGGTACGCCGTGATGAAATATCAGATATCGACTCTCGAAAGTTTCAATTATTTTTATAAGTCATAAATCGCTATAAATCGTTACACATTATTATGACTGTCTACCTGTACATTTAATATTTATCAATAAATTTTCATCAATCCTATTCACATGATTATTATAAAACAATGAAACATGTGTAAAATAGTTTTTATACACAATATTTTGTACTGTAGAAGTCGTACCGGATTGTATAGTGGACGACTGGTTGAGTTTTTTCGATCGGGTCTGATCGGAAAAAGCGGACGCTGCCGAAGAGTCATCGTTCGACAACTTTGACCTTTGATGCGAGTCCGAGCTGCCCGAATTCGCCGCAGCGTATTTCATCATGAACCTCTCGTTGTCGACGATCTGGTGGTGCAAGTTAACCGCCGCCGAGCAGCTAGTGTTCAATCCAGATATAGCTAGAAAAGGACGCGAAGGCATATTATAATAACTGTTGGACCAGAAAAAAAAATTCCGTTTAAAGTTGGCATTAAAAATATAAATGGTTTCACACTCTTACATTTAACTACGTTGCCTATTTCGAATTTAAAAGTCGTTTAAATTATTTTGCATTTAAGAGGATGTCAGAGCACCATTTGTTTTCTCTCTCTGGCGCAGCATAGACAAAACGCATTTACGCAGAATCGTTTTGTCCATGTTTTTAAGTAATCTTAGAGTAAATTCACCAATTACAAAAAAGATAGAGAATAATATTTTTGAAGGAATGACATATCAGTTTGTCTAAAATATTGTCTCTAAACTATTTAAACACAATTTAATCGTTCAACATTTTTTTGTTTATTTTGAAAGTCGAATAGAAAGTCAAATAACAATAAAATATAAAATCGATATGTCATTCCCTCGAAAATATTACTCTCTAACTTTTTTGTAATGGGTGATTTTACTTTAATATTACTTAAAAACATAGACAAAATGATTCTGCGTAAATTCGTTTTGTCTATGTTGCGATTGGGCCAGATAGAGAAAACAAATAGTGAGATGAAATCATCTTAATGTAATTGATATCCAGATTTTTAACATCCCATTGGTTTTGCGTTAAATTTCGTCAATTTATTATAGCTTTTATTAATATTATTCTTAATTTAGGTACCTATTCTATAATTTATTGTTATAATTATTATATATCTAATATAATTTAGGTTACTGGTATTATTAACTATTTTTTTATTGTGTTTAAAATGTCAATCATTTTTTTTTTCAAAGTGTAACGTCGTAGCTACAACGATGTCGATTTTTTTCTTTTTTCCAGACCAAAAAACTCAAACTTTATATAAAGTTCTAGCACCAGCAACAATGCCAACTAAATATCTACTGTAATTTATAAAATAAAAAATTTAATTTAATTAAAAGACAAGCGTACGTTAAATACTAGACATAAATAATAATATATCCTTCGTTATAATATATATAGTGTACGTCAAATACCTCGTTGTCGTTGTGTATGTACTGTATAAATACGGGTCGTCGCAGTTTAATAAATAAATTCAATTTGAAACAATTTGACAGACTGTAGTTTTTAATTGAAAATAAAAACTATAATCGCATGCATATGGAAGCGACCACTTAAGTCAGATGGCAATTGTATACTGGTCATTGTGTTTGGTCAGTAAATAGTGACCAATCAGTGGACATCGATAGTTTGAAACGCGTACCACATCGATCGGCGTAAGTTCACAGTGAGACAATGAAAAACGCAGATAATCACTAAGTTTGATGACCAATTTGGCATTTATTTCGTAGAAGTGTGATTTTTTTTAAGGGTTTTCTCAGATCGAGTGTGCACCAACGTCACCTTGTCAACACGAGCACCGGCGGACCTACTACACAACTTGAAGGAAATGGTTGAAAAATCCCGTGCAATATATATTGTGATCGGCGTTCACTGACGCAATTTTCAGCTTCAGGGGGTGTCTGCAAACATGCACTTTAGAAAACTACCAATGTGATGGGATATTCCGACGTTTTTCATTTTTATTTGTATAGTGAACTATATATCTGTAAAAATAAAGTTTACTGCGTCTCGTATAGGCACTTTATACTTTCCGAGTAATTTGTATTTGAAAACCATGATGCGTTTCTGGTGATGGGCACTATGTATAGTTTAAATAACATATGTAGGTATTCGATACGGTAAGTAGACGAGTTGGTGAGGAGGGCGACTTCGAGATAGGCGAGGGGGCAGTGTCTCTCTCACACCATACCTTGGTGATTTTTAAAAAATGTTCTTTGTTTTTTATTGTACATATTTCTCTAACTGAACAATTTCTGATTACATTAGTATCATTGCATATGAATGATAAAATATGCATTATATTCATAATTTAATAAATCATATAATACATAATATTACTATAGCATTATACTAATAAATAAAATGGTTACATTATACATTATAATACATTTATATTATATTTGAATGTCTTAATATGTGGTTGAAATCGTCCATTCGTACTTAAGATGATATTGTAACCACATAAGTTGTTTTCATCTATAACCAACGCAAACTGTCATGTTAAATTCTACGTTCATAATCCATTTTACTCTGTTTTAAATTTTAATATGGGAATCATTTTAAAGGTAAGAATTATATTTAAGGCTTTTTTTTATATTTTAAAATTGTAAATATTTTGTACATTTTGAAATAGGTAGGTACTATTATAACTTGCTTCAAAACTAAAATATGGAAAAAACGTACATGATACCTAAAACTTTGATAATATGTCAATTCACTACAGTATTAAAAATAACAGAGCATAATGTATTATTTTGAACTAAAAAATGGATATTTTAGAGGTAAGTGGAGCACCCTCCATGGGGCATCCCTGAACTTTTGTAGGGATTTGGATAAAACTAAAGGTCTTTGCTATTGTTATAAATTGCACATCCATTTTTGGAAAATAATTTATTTACTATTATGGAAGGGTAAAGGTCTTAGAAATAGTTGTGCCACTACCTGTCATAATATACTTTTTAATACATACTATTTTGATCATGTCGTGGTGCATCACGTTTTAATGCATCACTGTAAGTATGTTTATTATTCTAATATTAATGATAAATACTTAAAAAAGTACAAAAAATCGTCAAAGGGCAGGTATATGCTCAAATGATCAAAATAAAAAAAAATTGTCCACCGCTTTTATAATATAATATCACACGCATAAATATAATATTATAATACTGACCGGTCAACGTGTTGGCCATCTGTCGCTTGCGGAGGCTCGTCACACCGTCGGCGCCCGTCGGGCTGCTCAACTCGTCCTCGTCCTCTGGTATGGTGTACACGTCTGACGCGTTGGCGGTGGTCGCGTTGCTTGCATAGTACGCTTGCTGCTCGCTGCAATACTGCTCCTCGCGACGCTGCTGCTGTTGCTGCTGTTGCTGTTGCTGCATCCGGGCGGTATCGGCGTCGTCCAACAGTACTTGGCCGTTCTCGTCCAACATAGGCATCGGCCGCAAGTTCATCAGCTCGACGCCGCCGCCGGCCAGGCATTCGGCCAGGCTCACGTCGTCACTGGAATCGGACCCGGAACGCTCTCCCTGCAGCTGCTGCTGTTGCTGTTGCTGCTGCTGCTGTTGCTGTTGCAGTAGCTGTTGCTGTTGCTGCAACTGCTGCTGTTGCTGCTGGTGGTATTGCTGCGAGTTCCCGCCGGCGCCGGCTCCGTATGGCATGGACACCTCGTTTTCCGGCGACACGGGCGACAGCTGTTCCTCCGGCGACAACTGTTGCTGGTGGTAGTCGTCGTAACCACCGCGTTGCTGGATGTGCCGCCTGGCCGCCGCCGCCGCAGCCGAATTGTAACCGCTGTGCTGCTGGTACGAGCCGCCGGCGGGTTGCTGGTACGCCGAAGTAGGAGCGTGTTGCTGCTGTTGTGAGTACGACGACGACGCCGATGGCGCCATTGACGACGACCCACCTGCACCGCCGGCTCCGTCCCTGTGCTGTTGCTGCTGGTAGACGCTACGGTCCTGGTACGACGCGTTCTGTTGCTGTTGCGTGCCACTTTTGCTGTTGGTACCGTTGTAGTACGTGGCGTCTTGACCGCTTGACGACGCGTAACTCCCGTTAGTTGCAGTTTCGCCTCGAGACGACGACGACGACGTCATCGCCGTCGTTCTGTATAACACACAACAACGGTTAAAAATCAAATTTACAAAAATAGTAAATATCTATGAATTGCACAAATAGAGAGAAAACATTTTAAAATGTATGTGATGTCTAGTAATAGTATATTGTGTGGAAAAGGCGGGAAATGAGCTATTTCAGTCGCGGGTGACCCAAGACTGAAATTGCCTTCCCGCACGACCCACACGTACTATTTTTTGTCACGCCTCTGCATTCATCGACCACGGCAAAGGCAATGCAGAGATCTATGCAACAATTAGTCCATAATTCTACGATAACAATATTTTATGAAAGAAAGGATTTGGTTTTATTTATTATTTAAGCGTCACGTATGGAGGTTATAATATGATTATAATATGTAACCAAAAGTTAATGTTTTGCAAGGACTGTGGTATGGATTTCTGTTTCTGCAGGTTGTGCACCCAGCACTTTTGGGGATTTCCACTTTACCACCCTGCACTTTTAGGGATTCCCACTTTACCGCCCGCTGGACGGAAAAAGGACGCTTTCCAACGCTTCAACCGCTATCGAAAACCAAGCTTTCGGCGCAGGTGTGACAAAAATATAAGTAGGTACACATTGCTTATATTATATTGTTTAAATGTTTTGTGGCAATTTCAAGTCTCTAAGGTTAGATATTTTTGAACTAAATTGAAAAAAAAATCTAAACATTTTTAGATTAATTCATAATTTTTTTCAAAATTAGTTTGAGTACTAATTTTCCCTGCTTATTTTGAAACTGGTTATTTCCAATTTTAACCTCCCATTATCAACTAGGTACAATTTTCCATCAGAAACCATCGTTAAAACAACTCTAGAAAATAATTGTTGGTCCGTTTTGAAGTACCAAAGCCTCATAAGAGTGCGGTATGGACATCAACATTCCCAAAACTCTAACATCATTATTACTGATTAACCCGATACTCAAATAATTTTTTAGTATGCGAATTTCATGAGATGATGTGTAATTTTGTGAGTAATTACCTACCTATCTTTTGTGGTTTTAGTTTGATTTTTTGTTTATAGTTATTTAATAATATTTATCGACGGGAAAAATATTTTAGGATCGAAATTGGCATTGCACTTATAGTTACTAAATATTTCTACTCAATATTTACTCATTACTCTTCGTTTCGTCAATTCGTTCGGAAAATTATATACAATATACATAGTATCGTCTATATCGATAAAATTTGTTTAAATTAAATAATGTTCTAAGGAACACGATATCCTGCATACGATCCAAGCGATTTGATACCTACACGGTTTTTAAATTAAGTTTTTCCCTACTATATACTCAACCCATTACCCATATTAACCCGAATGGGCACGACTTTTGTACATGAAATAATTTTGAATATCGAATTGAATTTTTATTTCCGTTGTTTGAACAACCGAATACCTACATCCAGCACCGGAAACCCGAAACCCAAATAAAATATACGTTTCGGATGCAAAGCCCTCATTATATCTGCACGCACGAGCGTAAAGCAAATTACCATATACTTGCAGTTCATGTACATATATATATATATTTGTAGGCACGCCCCCCAGAGGTGGTACCTACGTGTAATCGAATAAAACGCGTCAAACCTAATAACAGAGTTTTGTATTTTTGTAGTTTTTTTAGTTATGTTTATCACTGCATGTATTACTTAAAGTGCCCTGTTATTGATTAAACCGTCAGCAGGCGGTCTTATATTGTTGCGCTTAATTTCGTTTTCTACGTAACGTTTAAATAAACATGAGCCTCGCAAAGAAAATAATAATTATAATAATATAGGTAATATAGGACGTGTAACTACATTATTGTATACTTTTTCGTCGAACAATTAGCAGCCACTCGAAGCCGCCGCCGCCGTCGTACAACAACAATTATTGGCTTTTTAGTCTTAATTCGTTTTCGGCGACAATGCAATTATATCCAATTATTATTTCAGCAAATATTGGTAGGAGGAGTTCGGTCGAACAGCCGCCAACACGATTCGAGAGAAAAATTACTGCGACAAGCTTACCTACACTCTACAGAGGTAATTGCCAATACCGAGAGGGTCAATTTTTTTTATCTCGGTTGAGTTGACTTTAACGAGAAAAAGTTAAAAGTCAATTTAATATTTTGTCGACTTAACTGGGCGGTGCCCGAGTTAAAAAGCGAATGCACCATTTAATATTATGATGTGCAATATAACGATGTAGCCACAGTAGTAGTACACAGTAGTATTTTCACAACTGAAAACTGTAATAAATTAGTGTTTACACAGTATTTCTATATAATAAGTACCCAAATACTTCATTGAAGATTTTCGTCGCTAAAAAAAAAACAATAAATTCATACCCTCAAATATTACCCGAAATATTTTTCGACATGAAAACGAGGTCGATTGAAGTGTAATAAAACACAATTGAAGACAAAATAAATTACTTAACTATCAACTTCTTGAATTGAAAATTTAAGTCGTTGATTTCGCGTTGATTAAAAAACAATTAAGTTACGCCGGTATCTAAATTAACGGAACCCAAAAATAATTAGTAAAGTCAAAAAGCCAACATGATAATTTACATAGATACCTATAATATTGTTTGCGCATGACTGCAATGTCCACGATCAAACACTTTAAAAATATACCTATATATTACTTATTATTTACGAAATTTCGTCAGCGACGACGGTGGGTATTATACCACGGTATCAGCGGTTATAAACATACGACCTAATGTGCGGATAAAATTATGTATGTCGGCTGAGTGTGAAACAATTCTAGTATGGATAATCATATTATAAAGGTATTCGAATGCATCCTCCGATGTTTGGACGGTGATCGCGGCCGGTGAAAATATCTTTTGAAAACGATAATGTCTCGACCTATAAAAAAAATGTTTTTCCAAATACTTCTCCGCGATCATAATATGATTTATGACATTATAATATCAGTGTAGGTATGCTGCAGACTTAGTATCTCCAACTAACTATATTATTGGTATAATGATATTGTTATGAAATCCTCGGGATTGTATCAGAGTCGGATTAACATGGGTGCAAAAGGAGCTTTTGCTCCAGGGCAGCAAACTTTTGGGGGTGGCATATAACTTTTGTAATACAAATATTAAATATTGTGCACATGTTTTGGTCAATCTTAAATCGAGTAATATTATATTTTAAAATATAAAATTATAAGCTATATCACTGAATAATGTGTTTATAATATTATTAGGATGGATTAGTGGATAGTATAACTATGATTATAGGTAGTGGTAACAATCGCAGTTTACATAGAATTTTGTAAAATTTTGATGTAAATAAATCTCTTCTGTAGTTTTGTCTAATAGATTTCCTGTGCCACGTCGTTGACTACTTTTGTTCTCGTCTTATCCTTGTTAAAGTATACGTACTTGCGTCTATTATATATTTATATGTATGTATATTATATCATACATGTGAATATAAAAAAAAATGTATGTTATGCATGTGGTATCCAATTTTAAAACGTTTTGAAACAACTTCGAAAGCACTTCAGTTAGAAAATATTGATTTATCTAATGTAATTTCATTATATACTTCTTGAAGGATTATATTGAAGAAATTCGAAATTCTTTCTATACATTTTTAGAAGAAACAAAATCTCAAAGTGGTTGTGAGACATTTATTTGGGAATCTTCGAGAAAAAAAATTAGATCAGTATTATTAGATGATGATAAGAAAATTTTGGACGTTGTTTTTATGGGATGTGAAAAAATGAAACGTTTTTAGTAATTATTGACAAATTAATTTTTGAAATAAATAGGATAATAGAAAGTTACACTGTATTAAATGATAAATTTGAATTTTTATGAAATATTGAAAACGAATCATTAAATGACATTCGAAAAAAAAGTAGCAACCTAGTTGAATTTTATAATATAGATTTAAAAAGTTACTTGGGAGAAGAATTAATACAATTTAAAAGTATAATGGCAAATATTTCAGCTGAAAATGAGAAATCATTTATTGCATTTCATAAATTTTAATAAAATCATTATTAGAAACATAATTTTCTAAAATAGAAATTATTACAAGAATTATCTGCATTCCACCATCTTCAAATGAACGTATTCAGTTTTCGGTTTTGAAAAGAATAAAAAAATATTTAAGATCATCTTAGAGATTTATGCATACTGCGCATCGAGTCTGAAATAGTTAGAGAAATTAAGTGGTAGGAACTTGTTAGTAAATTTACTACAGTCAAATCGAGGAAAAAATATATTTGTTAAACATATGTATTGTTTTTTTTTCTTTATATTATAATATTGTATTTACTTTAATCATTACAAACAGTGTGTACATTATGTATGAATTAAAGATTTTAATAATTTGGCGTTTTAAGCTTGTAGTAGTTATTTGTGTAATATTATTAGGTACCAATTGTATTTTTATTAAATTATTTGACAGATTCATATAAATATATAATATTACATGAAATAGGTACGTCATATTATAATGCTTTTACGACTTAATAAGTAGTATCCTATCAAATATATTATATTGCTCCGGGGCGGATCTGATCCTTAATCCTACTCTGAATTGTATACCTGCCGAGTGTTTCGATATTATTAATGAGTGTGTTATAAAAATGAATAACTATTGTTCCTATCGATTGTCAAATTTAAACAAATAATCAAATTCAGTTGGCCAACAACCGTGGAAATAATTTCAGTTCTTGATGATTGGATAGGGTTTTGGTAGATATATATGTATCTAACTAAAGTACATTTTTAACTGAACGCCTTAACATATTAACAAGCTATGCCGCTACAGCATACATAACATAAGAGAGCTAACAACTATCAATACACCATGATTTTTCACTGAAAAATATTTCAGTTGACTTGGAATCCACTGTTATTACTTTTTTCTGTGATATTCGTGGTAATGACAATATTGTAAAAATTAAAACATCTTTTATGTAAGTAAGAATAAATAAACTATTTTAATGTAATTTATTCTAACTTACTATTTACTATTAAATGACGTAGACATAGGGCATACTTGAAATCAGCTTATAAATAATAATTTATGATATTATGTGCCTTTGAAATAATATATAGATAAAAAAAATTGATAGAAGATCACGCCATGCCTCTGCTACTAACATCATATAAGTCCTCCAGAATAATGTAAATACATCTATCAGGCCTCATTATTTCATTTGAATGTATAAATAATATCAATGATCCTTATTAGTAGGACCAGGATTTAAATGCTCAAAAAAACGCCCTGAAAATAATCAAAAATGCATTTTCGACGCAATAATGCCTTTAAAAATATCACCAACATTTGTAACTACGCAAGCGATTGGAGTAATTTTTAACACTTCTTTATCTTAGTTTACTAATAATAGGTAATACAAAAACAAAATACCAAACTGAGACAGGGATGAATAATATCTAAAAAGCTATTAAAGCAAATATTATGATAACAATATTTCTTGATAAAATGTTTTAAATTTCCTAATTTACACTAAAAGTATACACAAATTGCACAATACATTGATATACTGTTATGAAGGAACACTTAATAAAATTACCTAAAAATGTTAAAAAAAAAATGCAAAGTTAAAGTTCCACCTTTAAAATATCTATTATATGAAACTAATTATGTATACTGCATAGAATGTAGAGCATCCAAAAAATAAGGCACTTTGCATTGAAATCCGGGCCTCGCTATTTAGTATAATCAGTAAGTGATTCATATATTATAGAATATTAATAAAAACATAATATTGATCCTAAAGCTTTTTATATTACAATAAATTAAAATGTAGTTCGTTTCTTACTATTCCTATAAAGATGAAACATTTTAAACGACAGCTTGTACAGGTATACCAGGATTCGATTAAATCCTATTATTATGATAGCCACTTAAAAGTTAAAACCCACTAACTCATTATTATCAATAATCTATTTAGTAAAATTAAATAAAAATGAAACTTCGCGTTTTAATAATAGCTGAAGAAATGCATAATATAGTACTAGGGGCTTCGATCCCTCTCGCTCCACTTGTCAATCCTCCTGTAATAGTTCAACCCCCTCAGAAGTTTAATCTAAAATGCTTTTTATAATTCAATACTCATCACTGTCATTATTTATTCTTTTTATTATTATATTTTTGGTTGCCATAGCATTCATAAAATACTGCAAGAAAACAAAAAAAAAAAATACAAAAGTGTTTTATATTAATAGAAGGATGGATATCTATAACATACACATATACATAAAATATGAATTCATATTAAATGAACTACCTAGATAAATATTAATATAATAGATTATGTGCGAAAAAAAAACAATAAAAATACGATATTTAGTTCAAAAATAATAGTTTTTATTTAAGATATTTTAACACGATGACCTGGAACCGTTAGCAATTGGCGTACTGGTATTAGAAAAACTATTTGAAATAAAACAAATAAAAAAATATATTCTAAAAAAGGGAAAGCATAGGTAATTGATCTGCTGTACAGTAGTGCCTACTGTCGAGTGTGTCTATCATCATCGAATTGGACAGTGTAATGGATGTGTTCCATTAGAATTCAATAATAAATCATTGCATAAAAAAAAAAACAAATCCGATCTGAGACGGTCAGCCTAAATTACTAATTAGTAATTACCTATATTTTATTATGTATTTATATTGTCATCGTAGTAATTTGATTTACTATTAGTATTTAGTAATTTATATATAATTTTTAATAAGGTTGGTTGGAATATTATATAATATTATATAATTAGCATTAATTCAATAAAGAATAACTGTAGAACGGTGTGAATATTTTCGAGGTATAAAATATAGTTAATAGAATAAAATTAACCCAAGTATATTGAAAATTCCATTGTGTACCTATATAAATTATAATTATATACGCTTATTATATTTCAAAATATTATGTCCATATAAAAATGTGTTCCGATATATTTTTAGGATTTTTAAGTTTCATTACGAACCATTTATGAAAAACCTTGTACTACATTATCAAGAATTTTTACCGAGCCTCAAAATTTTCATCAATGCTTTTCAAAAAACTAGATGGAAATTATTGAAAATGTAGACAAGTATATATTCTCGATGAGTACCTATCGTACAAATTTGAACTTTGAATGATTATAAAAAAAAAAAAATGTTTAAATATTTTTTTTTTGCTATAGAAATAAGAACCCTGTTTTACTTTTCAAGTTTTTTTTTACATAAAAACAAGGATATTTTCAATTGAAAAAAGCTAAAAGTCAACAATTATATCGAGTATCTATAAATAGCACAAAAAGAGCTGAGTCATCTATAGTTATTGGTAGTACGAATAAACTGAAAAGTGTATGTCTTATTGGTCATTTTTATGTTACAAAAAATAAAAAACAAAAGCTTATCTTGAAAAATGAATATTTAGTCGGAAAATGAATTTATTCGTATAACATCTCTATTAAACATTCATGATTATTTTGAAAAAGTACAAGAATTTTTATTTTGAAGTTAAAATTTTCATCTTCACCCCACCCCACCCAAGTTCAGACGGAGTCCCTAATATGCTACCAGAGACCATCCTCAAAGTTTAGGTTTTAAGCATTTCTACTACTCTAAAATGTGTATACAGAAACGAGTATAAAAACACAACAAATTTTAAAATCATTATCGCTTCGCTCAGAATTTAAAACTCGATGCGACGTGTTATTACAATAAAGTTTGAGCTCAAACGTAGAATCGGTTTTATAACTCAATAGCGAAGTGTTACATAATATTATTATATTAAGGTAAACCGCTTGACAAAGTAAACAACTGAAAAAAAATTCGTGGTTCACTCGAACAGTGTTTTTTGATATTATAATTTACCGCTGATATGCCGGTTCGCATGAACAATCATTAAACATTTAACGAATCAATAGAGAGCTAATGGTCCCTTATACACATACATGATTTAGTGGCCCATGATTGGACCATTAAATTTTATTGAACCATTAAGTTAATACATTTCTCGTGCAACCCGCGGCAATATACTACTACTATATTTATAAAAATAGTTGCACCCAAACGGTATTTACTTGAAGTCGATTTAATTTATAATTAGGTAGGTACTATCGACAGCGGTATAGCTGGTCGGTGTCAGTGACAAAGGTGAAAATAGGGGGGGGGGGGCTAAGCCTCCCCTAAAAAATGTCCATAGCCCCCCCAAACATTTCCTACATTTCGTTTTAAGTTTATTCAATATTATCAAAGTAAGGCTTTAGCCCCCCTCCCCCCAAAAATCCCAAACGAAATTTTCGCCTATGTGGGTCACTATATTACACTTCCATAGGTATAATGTCAATACCCAGAAGGACGTCGCACGCCTTATGTTATAAAACCGTCATAAGTCCTGCATGTTACCTAGTCATCGTCAAATGCGGCGGCGTCACCGGTGCGGGTTCAGTGGCGTCCATGTTCTTCGCCTTGGCCATGACGTTCTGGATCAATGCTCTCTCTTCGGCACTCAGGTGGCTCAGGTCCAGGCTCAACGGGTCCGGGTCGGCCGTCGCTGTTTCCAGTGTGCCTGCAAGGAACAAGTATAATAATATTTAAGACATTGTGTCATAATATTAATATTGCAAGACGCTATATTATTATTATAACGATGACACGCAGACCGCTCGAGTTGGTACAAACCACTTATATTGTTAGTAAAAAGGCACTTTTCCGTTTTCATTTGTATATTTTAAATTTTTAAATACAGCCGCAAAATAAACATCGTCTTAAAAACTATTCAAAGAGCATTTGAAATACATTTGTCAATAAATTAAGTACCAACTTATTAACAAAAGTAGGTACAAAGAACAAAATATACAGAATATACTTTGTAAAGTGGATATTTATATAGTAACATAAATACTCTTAATACCTATATTTTTTTTCTTCATTTTATAATCAATACCAATTATTTTTCTTTGATGTTGAAACTCAAAGCTATATAGTGGCTCGTTTAAGATTTATACACTATACCCACAGCTGTAACTACACTATTAATGCAGTATCATGCTGTGTACATAATATAATACCAAGGCGACGTAGGGGGTGACGGTATTTATTATCATCTTTTGATATTTCAAAATGATATTTTATATCGGTATTCCTACCGGAAATATAGTTATTAAACCGATATTTCAGTTGGTTTTTTTTTCGGAGTTTTCGATATCACGAATACATCGGAAATGACGATATTCCCGGTGTATTCGATAATTTTGATGATACCGGTATTAATATAAATATTATCAATATAATTTATGATATGTTTTTGAATAAATAACGAACAAATTAAAAATATTGTTATTTTTCGTTAAAATATATAATTTCGTCCAAATTAAAATGTCTATTAAAAGAAATTGAGCTAATAAATTATTTTGATTTTTTTGTTTCTGTATGAACAACTAGGTATCATGAGAAACTTTGCATGAGTATAACATTTTTAAGCTTTTCAACTGAGCGAACAATGTCAATGTGTAACGACGTTTATAGAAGAAAAAAAACTACAACAAATCAAAGTTTAAAATGTCTATAAAAAGTTCAATATTTTGAAAATTATACACTTGGAAAATGATAACATAAACGTTTGGTGAACTTTTCCAAGTATCTGATTTGTTTTCATTAATCACAACATAATAAGAAAATTGTATAATGAGCAATCGTTATTTTACGGATGAATTTCATCAAAACATAAACTTTCAGACACTCATTAAAATGTTTCTAGAATTACGCTCAACTTCTTTGTTGTTATTCCAGTAATTACAACTTATGAAAAAGTATTATGAATTTATAACCACAAAATAATTTGCACATTTTTATGTACTTACTATAGAAGTACTATAGAGGTACTTAGTGGCTAATAATACGTAATAACAAATAATTGGATTTATATGTTCTTAAAAACATAATAAAATGGACCTAACTATCCTTACTTAATTATAATATATGAATTCACAAATTGTCGTGTGTCTGTATATTATAATATTTTTATTTATTTTTCTATGTCTTCCTTAGAATATATATAATATTATGTATACAATGCACACACACGCAATATAATCGACAATTGTGTTTGAGTTTATTTTAGGAGTATAATGCTGGGTTGCATAAACAATCACTAAAGGTTTAATGAGTCATTAGTGAGCTAATGGTCTCTTAAACTTGATTTAGTGGCCCACGATCGGTCCTATTAATTTCAGCAAACCATTGAATTAATCAATTTTTCATGCAACTTAACATATAGATATATCAAGTATAAAATGAAAAAATTCCATTGATTTTATTTATGAATAGAAAATACCCTAATATTGATAATCCAAACAGAGACGATTATAATTGTTTATATTATAATATTATAATTATTATTGTCTATGAAATAAAACCTTTTGAATTCAAACTACAAATATGTATGAAATAATATTTTCAGTATTTAGAAAATACTTTTATGATAGGTAGCATTTAAATACTTTTAATTACTTCTTAACGCTTAAGAAGTTTTGTAATATTAGAGTATAATAATTCTATATATAATAATATTATATCAGTTTATTTTCAGTTTATAGATATATCATATATCATATCCTTAGGTATAGCCAATTATACGTTATAATTAGTATGTAATACGAATCCACCTCACCACCGTCACTGCGGTAATAATTTTACACGCAGATGGGTATACGAATTAATTATGATAAAAATAGGTGCCTATATATAGGTAAGTAAGGCCGTCACTGTGAGGGTACAAGGGTCCGGACCCCCCACCGAATTTTTAAAATCAGAACAATTTTAAATGTGAATACTGTTTATTGATTATTGTATTAAGAATAATTTTATATTTTCATAAAAGGAGAAATAACGAGAAGATAAGCGCTTTTATATTTTGAAAATGATGAGTAACCTAACCTAAATGATGAGTATCGAGACCTTTCTACATAAAAATGTGGTGCCCCCCCCCTGCAGAATTTTTTAAATTTCCTATTTTTAGGTACCTATAGGTATTCAATTATTATAATATTATACCGTAATATATAATATTAATATGTTAATGTGAATACGGAATAATATGCGATACTGATGCGTTCATAGCAATCGCATAGATATAATATGTTATATTATTGTAGCACTCTTTCGCGCTCAATTTATTTCACTGAGCCAAACGAGGTCAAATTATTTTCATAATATTGACTTGAAAAATTAAAAGTTAATTCTCTCCAACGAGATCCTATATGTACGAGATTATACTTTTAAGCTCTAAGCCATATCTGCAAGGAACACCACGTACGGTTTATAGAGGCTTGGGGCGTATACTGGTCACAGGTAGTTTATAGAATCATAATCAACATAATATATCGTATAGATGTACTTATATATACCTATAAGTACCTATGTCATAACTCATAATATATTGTGCTCAGCAGTGAAAGGATGAAAAATAAATACTCCTTTAGATCGTGTCATGTAACAACATGATTGATGATTAACATGCACTTCATACAACTTGATTATATAAACTATAATAGTATGTAAAAAAACAAGACAGACACAAGGTTTAAATCTATATCTATAACATTTTTCGGTAAAATGTTATAAAAATACAATATTATTAATTAATTTCAAACTTAAGTTAGTTAGGTAGCTCTTCTTAATAAATTATAAAAAATAAATATAGGAACTTTGCGATGGGCGCGTAACAACCTGGGCCGATATCGATAACTAATATTAATATCGGAACTAGGACATAAATTCCCCAAACGAAAATTGCCATGGACATAATCTCCCAGTTTACTTCATTGTTGTAATTTCTATGACTTTAATAAACTATAGATAAAGTATACACATTAGGTACACATACAATGGTAAAAATACAATTTTAATTTTAAAATGTAATATAAATATATTAAAAACACGTTTTTTAGAACAATATTGTTATTTCATGACTTAAAATGTTGTAATAGAAATACATTACAAAACGTTAATAGTTTCTGAAACGATGAATGGTTGATGAAAAAACTATCACAAGTTACCTTTATTATATATATAACTTATTTACAAACGATAATTAATAATATTATATTATAATAAATTGTGTTTGAACTTCTAAACAAATTTGAATTTGCATTTCCAAATGTCCTGTTCAAAGACGAGTTTCAAATAAAGAATAAAAATAGTAGACCAAAGTTTTCACAATAAAATGTATTCACGTATGAATATTTATGTTTAGTGTGATGTGTTTATTTATTGAGTGTGAATGAATCGGAATATTTCGTCCTTTACCCAGTACAAATACAGGGAGATTTTGTGCACCCACTGAGAATTAATGTTAAGACTTTGTTTGGGGAGATCATCGTCTGGGAAGATTTTGTCTGTTTCTCATTAGAATCGGCTGGTATAGATACTATCGACTATCGGTAAAACAAGTAGGTATAGGTTTTTTTTCGAACAGATTAAAGTATAAGCGAGACATAATATTCATTTCAAAAATGATTTATCCATTAAAAGACGAAATTAAAATAAAAGATAAAATAGTAAACCAAAGTTTTCACCTATAAAAATGTACGTTTAGTGTGATGTGTTGAGTGTGAATGAATCGGGAGATTTATTCCTACCCCGTAAAAATAAGCTAAGATTTTGTCCACCCCTTAAAAAAAAATGGGAAGAGTTTGTCTGAGGATATTCTGTCCGTTTCACATTCAAATCGGCTGGTATAGATACAATCAGTATAACAGGTAGGTATAGGTTTTTTTTCGGACCGATATTAAGCCCTAAATAATTGAGTCACATTTCAATTCGAAGGTATGTAGTGCTGGTAAAATATGTTTTAGATCTATTAAAAAGTATCAGGTAAAATAAATGTAATATATGATATTAATATGAAGGCGTGTCAGACGCAATTATAGGTACCTACTATGATTTCTGTTAAATATTAACAAACGATAATGTCACAATATTAATATTCTCATCTAGATCAATGGTTATATAAATGTTTAAGCGATAATAAATATTCATAATATTATAATATGAACTAATCAAATAAACTAAAAGCTAAAAATAAATTTATTATTTTATATTCAAGTCGTGTATTAATAATTATTATTAATTATACGGTAGCTATTAAAATTAAATTTAAATTTTGTACTAGAATATTCGATGAATTTATCCAAAATGTCTTGCAGAAATGCAAGATTTTTAGATATTATGCCACGCGTAACTTATATTGGATTCGGGTTTTGAAACTGACACATCGGTGTTTTTGATATCGCTTCAGGTATCTGACGAAGTGAAATGTCGGATTGGTTATCGGTTACAAATCCATTGATACATGAAAAAAAAAATGGCAGTGCAAACTTTGCAGAGCATTTTAAAATATATCTACAGCCGAAAAAAATGTCCACCGATCTTTTAAAACTGTCAAACAATGCCCAACAAATCAATAAGAACATGGCTTAGAAAAAGTGGGTAACCGCTGTGCTGCACAGTAGGTGTCGAGTGTACCTCGACATTGAGTAGGTCACTGTAATACGTGTGTTAAATTTG